GAAGATGTAATTCTTGGAGTCGTTCTTCTTGTTGTTGCGCTTGTGTGGAAGGCTGCCCGCGTTCAACCCTATCACCACTGACGCCCAAGTCGGAGTCTTAATTCCGCCACACCTGCATTGGTACTTCAACACCCTGTTGACGTGCTCCGTGAACGTAGGCAACTTCTTGGCCAAGTTGGTCACACCGTAGCGACTGCCATGCGCACACAGGCCAAGTGAGATGTATAAGTTCCCTGCAACACGCTTTGTCTTTGGAGCCACCGACCCAGCAGGCAGAGATGCGCACAGCTTTTCCATTGACGTAAACGAAAGGTCGCTTTCACGTAGAAGACGGCCTGCCCTGAACTCGATCATACATACTGAGTTGACCCACAGTCAAGAAGGACTTCTGCGTTTCACACTCTTTCTGGGACCAGTCGTGCTCCTGACACACATTCTTTCTGGGACGAGTCGTGCTCCTGACACACATCTGAAAAGGGGACCAGTCGACCAGTCGTGCTGCTGACGCACATCAAAAATAAACGACAGGTGCGCCTCTGGATTCTGTCGAAGATCGTCGGTGTCCTCGCGAACATTCTGTAAACCATCAGGAGCTCTAAAGTCCTTTCCGCAGCGCGCCTCTGGGTTCTGTTGCAGATCGCTGGTGTCCTCGCGGTGCGCCTTTGGATTCTGTAAAAGATCGCTCGTGTCCTCGCGGCGCCACTTCCTTCCAGCATAGAACATCTCCTTGAGCCGACGTAGAAGAGCATCACTGTTGCCCAGAACACACCTGCGACCATCCAGTCTTCCAGCACATAGCGCATCACCACCATCCATTCCTTAGCGCACGTAGTTCTCATTGTCCTCATCGCACAAAACCGCAAATTTACCGCCTTGCAACTCGGCCGCCTCCACAGCCATTTGCAAACTCTGCTCATCACGATCAGGTTGCAGCAGCAGGCCCGGAGCTCCATCGCAAGTTGTTGTTTTCAAGCGGATCCAAATTGGCCACCGCCTGGATATACTCAACAAACTCAAACTCATGAGTTCGGCTTGGTGACACTGCCTCGACGACAGGGCTGCGCATGTCTGGTGAAAGGCCTCCAAACATGTTGTTGAGGCTCATCATAGCCTTTTTGTGTTCACCTGAAGACAGTGCTTTCATCTTACCAGACTCTTCACTCCCCACGGTCATGCTCTCAGCATCGTCAAACACAGCCAAAATGGCTTTGCCGTATGCTTCTTTTGGAAGCCAGCCCTCAAGCTCGTGCCACCACTGGCCATCTTCTATACTCTTGCCATTGGCATAGTCCCTGGCATCGAAGCTTGCAAGCAAAATGCCTGCATCTGTAGCTTTCTCGCACGCTGAAGCTGCACGTCACATTGTAGTAGGCAGCTCGTTCCGGGAACATGATCCGGGAGCATGATCCGGGAGCCCATTTGCGCTTGGAGCTCGTTGACACCTGAAAGCCATCCACGTTCGGAGCCGGGACTTGACCTTGGAACTGGCTTAGATAGCTCTGCATCCACGCGAGCTGCACCTTGAGCTGGTTCACCTCCTCCTCCTGTGCTCTGCTGCTCGCCCTCGTTCCTGCATCGATGGAAGCGGCGCCCGAGAGTCGATGTTCGCAGGCTTCCCGAGCCTTGGTCGGGGCATCCTTGGTCTTCCGCGTCCCAAACCTGAATAATCTCCAACTGCTTGTCTGAGCCCTTGTCGTAGAAGGAGACTGGGCCAACGCTAGCCCACACAGCCGCTGCGATCCATCTGCTAGCCAATCGAACATCTCTTCCCGCACGCTTACCAGACCCATACGGGCTGCCATCTTGCCTCCGACAATCCTCCAACGTGCTGTGGCACGACGACTTTGGAGGACTCCTGCTGGCATCCCTCCGGGACGAGTCGGTCCGCCCCGGCTTGATCTCTGATCCATCATCAGCAACTGAGCCATCCTTTTCACCGACTTCGAGGTGCACCCGGCCCGCAGGACTCTCTCGAGAGGATACATGAGTTGGTTCTATCCGCTGTTCACAAGGACAAACTTCTCATGCTTCTCGCTCTCAGCTGCCTTCGACAACGACCAACCCTCTGGAGGAGCAAACTCTGTCACTGAAACTGCCACGTCGTGTGTCCTGACGGCATGGCTTGCATATAGGCTTCAACCCCGTAGGCCTTGAGTTGCAGGCGGTCGCCATCGAGGTCCACCACCGCCCTGAGCTGCTTGCGGGCATACGAATGGGTAGAAGAGGAGTGTTCTCTTGCGCCACTTTAGCTTCTAGCAGTCCATTAACCCCAGCAAGACCCACAGCAATCTCTGCAACGCCGATGCCTCCGACACCACTACTGGCTTGGGCTTGCTTCTTGGTGTTCCACTTGACTTGCAACCCATAGCCACGCAACACGCTCGAGAATTCCAGGAGCACGGCCTTCCCCACGAGTCCATCCTGGGCCGCCGTGTCCACGATACCTTCACCAGCACGCGTGGTCACACCAACAAAGTTTTCAGGCGATTCTTTTCTTTGAGGGACAAGTAGTTGAGGTTGTTGCACTTTCCATTGGCTGAGAACTGAAGATAGGATCTTACCAACGTACGCAATATGACATGAAGCTCACAGACTCGTTTTCAGCGAACAGCACATCCGCTTGAGCATTTCCGCTCGACTCACGAAGAAACCTGACCGCGTCGAAGGAGAGGAAGTGGATGCCGATGGGGACTTCGGAATCGCCGCACGGCCTCGTTCATCTGGCGCGTTCTTGCACTCTCGAGCCCGCACACTTGGTCCTCAGCTTCAGCAGGTCGATGTGCACCTTCGTTCTTCGTTTTCCAAACTTCATCGGCTCCTTCGACTGGCCCTTGACGTCCAGCACCGGACGAGTCTTGCCATAGCCCTTGCCTCGGTCTTTTCCTCCTTTGGAGGACGAAGATCCCATCCCTGAGGGATAGTAGACTCTGTTGTTCCTCTGCTCACGTAGCGATCGCCTCACGTCCTGGTAGGTTGCCAGAGCCTCCATGATGTGCTCGTACATTTCTCGTAAGACGTCCTCATCGATGTACACGTTAGTCGTCGTCGCCGTCCGACTCACCATCATCGACGTCTTGCTGAAGGAAGGCTTCGGCGTTGTCCGGGTCATCTTCGCCGTTCTCCGGGCTGTCCACATCCGATAGGTTCACGGTCTTCGATCATACTTCCCAGATTCCCAAGTAAGCATCTGAGCTTCTTGAACATCTGTGAATTTGGCATGTCGGAACATCACATACAGACACCACGAACTCATGACGCTTCAAGCTCCTTGAAGTTGTGCTCGAGCCTGATGACATAGTCGCTGAACGACTCCTTTGCCGAGAGAATGTCACCATAGATCGCTTCCTCAAAGGCCTTGGGAGAGACACTTGCAGGTGAGGGTCGTAGTGCCCTTGTCATCTTCATAAGGTTTTCCAAACCCTTTTCGCAAGCCAGCTCACCCCACTTCCCCTTTGGGATCTCCGTCTCAAACTTCCACAGTTCAAGTTCCTTTAGCCACCACTTCCGGCTCCGACCATCAAAACTTGAAGGAGGCTCTCGGTCTTTCCAATTGTTCCCATTGCCCTGGACCTGCGCGGTGGACAACTGCGCAGCCGCCGGCATCGCTCTGCCACCTTAGTGGCTCCGCGACCACCTGTGATGACAGGTGGGGTTCGGCTGCGCTTGTGCTTCGCAATGCAGCGTCTCACGCGCTTTTCCCTGCCATCAGCAACTGCGTAACAAAGGAACTCAAGGGCCCCTAGTTGAGCCAGCAATGAACGGCGAAAGCCTTTGTGCAACTGCCACAGAAACGAAGTGCATCAGACTAAAAATCTCACAGCTTGTCGTGTGTTGCCACTGTTCCGACCCAGGTTGAGTGTAGTGTTGGATCTTGCACGTCAGGGTGACATATCCTTGCATGAGCTGAGACTGTGGTTACAGAAGCTCACTGGCCTAGACCTGACACGAAAGGCCGACATCAAGCGCATGGCAGAGATCTCTCTGCTGACTTCAGCACAGGACGTGTGACATGCTAGCCTCCTGGTCCTCGCAACTACGAATCTTGTCGCCTTATAGCAGCAACGCTTGCTAAAAGGTCACTTCATCGAGACTTTGGACGTGAAGGCTGGCGGACGCGAGCTCTTTTCTAGCGCCTGATCTGCAATTTTCGCGAGAACACTGTTGATGAGGCACTGGGCGGAATTGCGTCCATAGCCTTCATGCTCCCAGGGCTTAACCGGCATCTTGGCTTGTCCTCCTTGCGCAGTCCTCTTCGAGAAGGTGTAACAGCTGGTCCGATCATTCACACTTCGGGTGAACGGGCCATGAACACTGCCACCTCGCTCCGTGTCTTCGAGCAATGGGACCGGCTTGGAGTGTGGGAGTCAGGGGAGTGCGCAAATGGCAGAGTGGAGAAATTTCGGCATTGCCCTCTGACCGAGCACAAAAGATGACGTGTGAACTTCGACTTGGGTTGCCTGTGCATGTTGGTTGTGTGGTAAGTTGAGGCAGGCATCACCCAGTTTTTGCAGTGCTGGGTTTGTGCGCCTGCCTGCTCCTATTGCCTAGATCACTACTCCACTCCTGCAAAGCGTCACGCTAGGCCTTCACAAGGCGTGGCCGAGCCCCCAACGGAATTCATTCTTTGCTAAAGGCCTTTTCTGGACTCACTGCCTACCCAAAGCAAAAAGCAAAGGCTGCCAAGGAGCTAGAACGCAGAGACGAGGAACACTCAATAGGCTCTGAATAGCACACATAATCAGGTGGAAACCACTGCAAATCGAATAGCTAGCACTGCTGCAAGGGGTAGGCTTTGGATGTAATATGGTCCAATGGAAGCAACAAGGCCGGCACGGCCTGAGCAGGTGCCCCGATGTGGATATGCAATATTTGCCACGCGCATGTATGTTTTTCCCAGCCGCTAAATGCGAAGATGCTCTCTATCGAGGCTTCAGCTTAGCAAACCGCCTTCCAAATCTTTTCGGGCCACTAGCAAGTTCGCTTCTTGACACCCTCATGTCCTCTGTCGGTTCAGGGACCCGGTCCATACCCGGTGGCTGCAGCAGCGGCCCTGGCGAGTGGCTCAACAGATGAGGGCCTGCTCTGTAGAGTTTGACACATGACACTCGCGGCTTCAAGACATCCAACTGGGGCCCGCCTCGATTCCGCGCTTGGGGCGTCAGTCGGGAAGCCTCGTGCGCCTGCCGTGGGCTGCGGCTTCAAAAGGCCAACCGCCGAAATCCTTCCGCGCAGCGGTGAAGCTGGCATCTGCTACTCTGCTAGGCCTAGCTGCACATGAAGCGCACGATGCTGGTGGTGACTAGAAGCAGCTGTGATACGTTGGTGACTGAACTCGCTCTTGCTTGGATCCCTGCGGACGGCGGGACGGGGAGTGTCTAGACCACTGGCAATGCACTGCACTGCAGCAACCAAGCAAGGTACAGATAATGCAAGATACAACAAGGTCGTTGCAGAAGTGAAGCGATTTTTGGAGTGCATGCGGCAAACGCAGCGCAGCACATCAGTAGTGAGTTCGATGGAAGCACGCGGGAAAAAACAAGAACTGACACCAAGCCCTTCCACCAAGGTCTAGTCTCCACGACTCCGCGATTCAAGACTGCCACAGCAGGACAAGCAGGATGTAAGTTCCCGCTGTCTCGTCGATGGCAAGGACGAAAACTCGAAAACCGGAGCTGTTCTTGGGCGTCATCGTGCTCAGCCCTAAGTCCATGCACTATATCCCTCTACATCAAAATCCGTCGATCTGGCTGTCTTGTGTGCTTCAGTGTGCCCTGTCGATCTTGAGACATTCTCTGATGTCTTGCAAGGCTTGTCTCGGTCCGCCGGCAAGAGGCCCCAACCCCTTCCACACCGTACCCGATGGGCTTGGGACAGCAGGATGCCTCTGAACTCGATTCCGTGGCCGCGGCGGCCGCGCGGAGTGGTTGCGCGGCCTCGGTCCAAGGCGACGCACCCCCTCCCCTCTGGCAAGCTGCGCATGGATTTTTGTTCTCCCTCCCTCCCCGTTCCCCCTTGCCTTAGCAGCTCGGTATGCCTAGGTCAATGCGGCTTTCGGAAGTCTTGAGACGGAGCTCTGGTTTTCAGTTGCCTCCAGTGTCGTCTCATAGCTGCGGCCCTCTTCACACCGTTGCCGCTCCTGACACGCCACTGAGTGGAAAAGAGGAAGCTCTTTCGGACCCCGTCCTTCACACGACGCCGTCCCTCCGTGACGATGACACAGGTCATGAGCTCGGTGAGCATCCCGCCAAGATGGGGTGTGGACCTACAGAGCAATCGGAGGTCATCGCCTTCGGAGCCTCAGTGGCCCAGCCTGTGCGCATCCACCAGCGCAGCCACCTTCATCGCGAAGACGCTGCAGGTCCCCGTCGCCGAGCAGCGGACCTGAGCTCAGGCTGCGCCTCCGCCAATGCCACAAATGCAGGCTCTCCGAGGTTCCAGGCCGCACAGTCACGTGGACACCCGAAAGATTGCAGGGCTTCCTGCAACGCAACTCGAACGCAACTCGAACCACGAGCCGTTAGCACATTCCTCCGGAGCCTCGCCCAAGAGGGCCTCGAAGCCGAGCATAGTGCCAGCCGGGTAGGTCTCAGACAAGTTCATCCAGGGCTTGGGTTCTGGGGGTGAAATGCCTCGAGAGTCAAACGCTCCTCATCATTCCCCAAATTGCCGCAATGTTCCAAGTTCCAAGTCCGTTTGAAGGACCACGAAATCGCTTAGCAAAGGAGGCAAAGGGAAACGTCTTGCACCGTCCTCAGATCTGAGAGCCGCTCTTCCAACACCAGGTAGCTGTCACCAAGGTACACACCACGCACCTTCTCTCTTTGACAGAGCAGAAACTGACTTGCTGCGTTTTGGCGCAGCAAGCGGCGCCTCCTTCTTCCGCCCTCGACGCCGGGTGGATGGGGCCTGGGTCCTCGGCGCCGCTTTAAGGCTGCGAGATCTCAAGACTTTCAAGTGGATGCTGTGCGTTGGCCTTGCTGGTCTGGCCCGAGCCGTGAGGACCCGGCAGCGGTCGGCCGGTCGCATTGAGAATGGCCTCTCTGGGGTCACTACAGGCCGATTCCCGTCTGCGACCTGAGCGAGCCTCGCAACTCCCCTCGTAGACGAAGATCAAGTCACTGCTGCTCCCAGCCTTGGAGCTTCTGCATGCTTCAGCTACGCCAGGTGTCGATTTCAACAATCACTAGGATTATTTGTCATGAGGGCTCTATATTATTCTTAAACCACACGGGAAATTAAGAAATATCCACATCGATACCTAGTACAGGCTGTCCTCCAGCTCCTGCGCCTCTTCTTTCAACGGCCCGGAACCAAAAAAACACTTGTCCGCAAAGTAGCTTCAGTGGGAGGCACGATCAACTCTCCAGGTGCAAAGGCCTGCATGTCCAACAACTCTCGAGCAGCGAACTGCACCTTTCACTCCCACCTGCGGCTCCAACAATCGCACGAGCAGCGCTTGAAGCCTGCACACGGGAACAGCCAGTGTGTACCTTCCCTGCTCGGGCAACCTTACAGACGGCTGCACATTTCTGACCACTAAATACACTTAGGCTGAACCCTCAGCTCTTGAGACAAGGAAACAAACACCACACCACCCACCAGATCCTGTCAACATCGCTGACTGGCAATCCCAGGAGCACTCCCAGGAGCAGTTTTGACCAACAGAGGCGAAGATTGGGTGCAGCTGCAGCACGTTCGGGACCACGCTGAGGCTGAAGCCAGGCCGGCATCGACAGCGCGAAGAGGGCAATGCCCCCGCCAATCACGTGCCTGGCTTGCAAGGCGCAACCTGCCCCAATTGCAAAGCAGATCTACTCGGGAGCAGTCCCTGCCTGTGGATGTGAAGGATCACCTCACGCCGCAGTGGTGCAGGCAACCTGTGCTTTTGGAAGGTCAGGGCCAGGGACTGTTCAAGACCCAGAAACCCGCTCTGACATTCGCAGCGGCTTGCAACTTTTCGTGCAGCCGAAATGCTTTTGAAGTATTTCGGGCTCCGCATCGAAAGGCGACATCTCCTGCAAAAGCGTCGGCGCTGGCAAAGAGCCCAGGGAAGCCGGTGAAGCCGGCACAGGTGAGAGGCACACCTGGTACCAGAACTCGACGTGCCGCCGCACAGAGTTCACGACCTTCTGGTGGAAGCCGTGCTCCTCGAGGGCTGCCGAGGCGGTGCTTTTCTACTTCTAAGGATCCGTAGGGTTGGGACATGTTGAAGCATCTTTTCAACATGATTTTTTCTTAATATACTATTTTATGGATGGTTGATTGTGGCCTGAATTGTTTGCTCGTTTTGTCTGCTTCCTGCATGGGTGATCTATCATGGAAATATAGAGCATCGGAATGCAGTCTTATAGTCCGAAGGTTTCGGAGCATTGACTACTGAGTTTGTGGATCTTCTTGGCACCACGACGTCATGAATCTGGTAAGGGTGAGACTTTGTTTGAAAACTTTATTGCTTGTTAGAGTTGTTGTATCGCGGTCTTGACTTCGTTGCCAGCCTTGAGCCTTTTATAGTGACTCAAGCCCTTTCTTTTACACCCGATTCCCAGAGGTACAGATGTCACGACGTGTGTCGTCGTAAAAAGGTTGCTGCCACGGGCGCGGGCGCGGATGGGCAGGAGAGCAAAAATCTTGGATGCATGTACGGTCATTCGTCACTAGTTGCCAGTGACTCACGCCTTCTCTTTTGCATCCGATTCTCAGGTGTACAGATGTCACAACGTGTGTCGTCGTAAAAAGGTTGCTTCCACCCCCATCAACTCCAAGCATCACCTGTAAGAACTTGCATCAGGCGCCGTGGGCAGCAAGGAACCGCCAAGTTGAGGTAGGAAAGCTGGAAGCCTGCCACAGCTCGGCTTTCTCAATAGCAGAAGGGAAAGCTCTGGCCCAATCCAGAACATGCTGCTTTACTTCAGCTGGCAGGTGAGGCAGGTAAGTAACCGAAGCCACCTCTTGCACATAGATCTCCATCACAACGGCGCTGACCTGCATGACCTAAGGGCCTGAAGGCGCTTGGGCAGAGGATCGGCAAAGGCAAAAAGACGTCTGCTGGGACCGGCTGGCCGCACCAGCTCAGATGTTAAAGTTCTCTTGAAAAAAGCCGAGAACGCCGTCTTCGCAGCGACCAGGCGAGGTTCCAAAGAAAAAGCCCACCGACCGACGAAAGGAGAGGGCCTGACCTGGCGAAAAATTAGCCTATGGCTCGTCATGTCCCAAAGGCCTGCTGCAGAAAGCCGAAGGCGGGGCCATGAAAGATGGCGCGACAGGTGCCGAGAGGCAAGGGCCCGGAGGATAAGCACGTGAAGCAAAGGCACAATGCACATCCAACGGGGTTCGTAATGCTCGTCGTGGGCTCGAAGCCTTGGTGAGCGGCAGTATTCATTGGCCGTTGTCTTTCGGCTTCCTTGGAAACCTGGGTCGGCGCTTCGGTGCTGCAGCTGTGTCTTCCGGAGTGTCGCTCGGAGAGGCCTTTGGATTCACAGCATCCTTTCGCCGCTGGGCCAGCACATCCACCTCGCGAACGAAGGACAGCACCGTAGATCCCCAAGTCGGACTGACGAGAGGAGTGAAGGCACGCAAGCGGCTTGCAGGACGTGAGGCATAGACCTGGGGCGAGGGCTCCTCGAGCAAACACAGGACAAAAGCCAAACTCCAGTTTTGATCCTGGGCCGCCTGCTCCGTAGATGCCAGCAGCAGAGCCAAGTGCTCTCGAGCACCAGGCACTTCATCGTGAAGAAGACAGTCGGCCACGAAGCATAGCTACTGCATGCCAGGTCCCGGCTTTTCCCAAAGCCACCAGACCGTTCCATGTATGCCACAAATCTCAGTCGCCCGTCGTCCTTCATCTCGGCAAGGGTGCTTGGGACCCGGGAGGCAGGGTGACACTTTCTGAAAAGCACCTGGGGAATTTGCTGCTTCTCTGCATGGCTCATGCTGCAAGCGCTCCCTCGTGGCCACCCTTTCGATGTGAGGCCCGTCGTCGCGGACGAAAGGTCCATTGCCTCGAGCAGCCAGATGAGACACCAACAAAGAGGAAGGGCTTGGCCTGCTGGGCGATCGCTGTGGCTAGGGGGTCCGAACAGGCAGGAGAGGCAAAGGGTGGTGCGGCTATCGGAGCCGGCTGCAGGGCCAGAGCCGAAGCGCGCAGGAGCAGGCAGCTTTGTAGCCAGGCCCGCCAGAGCGGCAGCAGCATCCGCAGCAGCAGGCTGAGGCAAGGCAGGGAAGTTCTGCTAATGGCACGGTTAGGGGCCTGCTGACGGCTGATAGCACACTCCACAAGGTTGGGGAGCAGGAGTTGGCCTCTTCGGCTGGGGAACCTAAGTCCGCGGCGGCCTTTTCCTGAGCGGTCACAAAAGCCAAGCCCGGGGCGAGGTCGCTGCCGACCCACTGCAAAGCTAGCTTCATAAGCTCCTCTGCGCAGGCAGCATGTCGGCTCGAAACCGACTGCCAGCCCAGACTCGTTCACAGGGTCGAAAGCACCCATGTACCGGAGGGCACTCTCCTCCACATCCAGTAGCAAGACTTGGATGTCCAAGCCGGCTGGGGCGTTCTTGCCGGCATCGTTTTCCTCCATCGACGCCGGCGCAAGCCATCGCCTCGTCCTGAAGAGAAGCAGGGAGGGCTAGCAGGAAGGCACCGGGGCGGACTAACAGTGGCCAGGCAAGGTGCAAAGTTCGCTCGGCAGCTGCCTTTGAAGGAGGCCACTTCAGGGCATATAGGACGCCACGGGTGGCACCATCGACACGGAGGCCTTCGATATTCATCTCGCCTCTGCGGGAAGGGATAGTCCGATGCAACGCAGAAACCTTTGCCTCGGCAATGGAAGGGAAGCTATGACACACGGTGTCGGTGCCCTCAAGATACCCGACAGCGGCACGCAAGGCACGGAAGGAAGACAACCGGGCAGGCTCTCGCAAACGGCTGCTGCGAAGCACGATGTACATGCTGGGGCGCAGATTGAGCACGGAAGTAGGCCCAAGAGTAGGCACACGACCCTCAATGACAGCTTTGGCCCAGCAGCCAGCAGTCCAGGCGCGCCTGGCACGATCAGCAGCCAAAAAGCAACTGGCAGGAGAAAGGCGCTTGCACAGCACAATGCAATGAACGTGGCAATCATGAAAGGAAGCAGCGACGTCGCTGTAGGTGTCGGTCAGCACGCGGGTACCACTAGGGGGAAGGGCCTCGGCTGAGGTAGAACCGGTAGGGTTAGGGATAGGGCCTTCAGTAGAGACACGCAAGCCGCTCAAGGGCCGCCTGAACTTCAGCAATGGTGGAGGCGAAATCAGGGTCGCCCATGCGCTGCGTAGGCTGGCAGTCGGAGGTCAACAGGCTGACGAAGCACAGGGGATGGTTCCTGAGGGCGGTCGGCCGAGGAGATGACGGGCCGAAGGAGAAATCCACGACAGACGAAGAGTGTGGCCAGCGACCCGGAGCAAAAACCCTCGAAGAAAAGACAAGCCGAAAAGGCGAGAGAGCCTGAGCAGTGACCAGGGCAGGCGAGGCCAAACCAACCCGAAGCAGACCTCTGGACCAAGAAGGACAGGAAGCTCGAAAAAACTCTCCCAAAACCATTCTTGACCTGCAACTCTCCGCTGAGGCCCTGACGAAAATGAGCATGCAAAGAAGCCGTTTGTCAATGCCACTGCAGGTTAGAGACTCGCATTCATGACAGGCCCGAGCTGCACCGAAAAAGCAGCACCATATCAGTGAGAACCACTCACCCCGCACTGGCGTGTGTCAGAAACACGCCGCCCGAAGCAAAGACATCACAGCTTTCAGAAAACTCTTCACGAGTGGGAGCAGGTCGTGGAAGCCCTCGCCAGATGAGACAGCAACAGCCTTCTCCCCGCAGGCCGTCGAAGATGGACCGCAGTCACTTCACTGCGATACACTCCCAAATTGCCCGGTCCCACGTGGCAGAGCGCCAGCGGCAATGACATACACAGTGAAACAACTCAAAGCTTCATCAAGTCTTTGACAGCCGCCCAAGCCGAACCAACGAACCAACCCGAACTTCCAGTTGTTTTTGGCTGCAGCGTTTGCCAAAGCCATTGCGAAGAGGTTTGGCTCCAAAGGACCTCTTGCCTCGGGATGGGCCGTCAGCTGGGTTGCTTTCGCTAGGAATGTAAACGATTCTCGGCAACAAGTCTGCTGCCAGTGTCGTTGCGGCTGCAGCCCTGAGTGGTGAACCACCAAGAGTACAGCTTTGGTATGGTTTGGGGGCGTGTAGTTTTGGCTCCATTACAAGCCTCAAGCCTGACTTGACATGCGTAGCTGCAAGAGCAAACACGACTACGGATTAGAACCCCACCCTGAAAGCGTAAAAAAAAAAAAAAACGTGCTTTGCATGAATGCTTTGGAATCTTCAAGCTGCAAGTGACAAGAATCACAACCTTATTCACGCGCCTATGTTTTAACAGTACGGGATCCAGACTCTCCTCGCAGTACTGCCGCATCATGAGCAGGGACCTGTCAACGTCGCGTGTCGTTCTTGGCTGGCTGCAATGCTTGCAGCACCGTGCTTCTGATGGTTCACTGTTTGATAACGTTCCGAGCATGTGTCCTGGGATCCCGCGCTGCGCTGCCGGGTTTTGACGACCATGCGTGGCCATCTCTGCCACGCTGCCTACGATGTAGCCTTAGCGGCAGCATTACCTCCACCGCGACACCCACCATCACCTTGTTCATCGTCACGTCACCACCAGTTTTGACCAGTATCACCATTATCTCCCTCCCCATCGCCCTCCTCACCAACTTCGTCGTCACCATTCGCCAGTGGCCTCATCGCCACAGCCGCGATTGGTACCACGTCAGTGTTCAAAGGACCACACAAACTAGAAGAATCTGCAAGCAAACATGAATGCATGAAAGCTTGGACACCAGGAAGCAGACAGCGAGAGACCGGATGCCCTACAAGTGATAAGCGCGACACGGACCACAACGGGCGGAACAGAAGAGCAGCTAAGAGCAGAGGGGCGGAGAGGGGTGCACTCTTGCCTCCTTGTCGACCGGGCTGCCCTCCGATACTGAGGAGGCCACCAAACACCGTGGCTCCGAAGATCATCACACCGACCTGAAAGCACCGGGCGATATTTTGTGCAGGCAAGCCTGGTACCTGCACGGACTTCTAGTCTCTCGGCTGCAGGCTGCAAAGACACGCTCGATGTTGTTCATGGGAAAGATGTCGCCTACAAGGCCCCCGATGATCGCCGCGTCTTATAGATCCAAGAAACCAGATACAATACCAGGCTACTAGTGCTAGTGCAGGCCAGGGAGCCATAGCCCACAGTGGTCATGGTGGTAAAGACCTCAGCTGCAATTGTGCATCGCATTTTGCCATGTTTGAGCCGCTTCCGTCGAGCCCTCAGCTGCGGTCCCGGCCCAGTATAATGCTGCCACATACTTCTTCGCGTTTGTATCGGTGTCTTGGGAACCCCTGGCAAGAAGGCAATGCAAGCTGAGACATTCGCTCATCAATATAGACCACGTATGCCACACGAATGGACCTACATATTAGAAATGCCGTCTTGCCCGCTGCCAGATGGTCTGCTGAAGAAACGGGGTTCTTCAAGCACGAGACGAGCTCTTCCCGTAAGGACATCTGTGTCTTTCTCAATATAGGTTGCATCCGACCCCTCACCGATCCTTCCCCGGTCTCGGGTGCGGTGCGCGCACCAATGCTGGGCTGCTGACCCGGAACCCTGGAGCCACGTCGCCGAGCCGTCCTTTCAAGCGCGAACTTGAAGCTGTGGCTATTTGATACATGTTTCGGTGAAAGGAAAGGCCACGTCCAAAAACACTCGAAGCAGGACAAAGAAACGTGACTGCCGTTGTTACGTAATGCCCGGCCCGCTGTGTGAATAGGCACAGCTAGCGCGTTGTCCGTCAGGCTGCCGTGAAATCTTTTCCAACACGGCCCACTTGCGCAGAAGGTAAAGCCAAGGAAGGTAAGATCAAGAAGCAGAGTACCTGTCGCTAGCATTTTTCCAATAGAAACTCGCAGTACGACGTAGTAGCATTCAGACATCTTCACTGCCGCAAAAATCTAATTATCAATCATCATCATGGACAAGATGGATGAGAGTATGCCAGAGCAGTGGTCCAGGTGTTACGTTACGAGACTAAACTGTAAGGTGGCCCGTAGGCTGGACTGCACCGCTCTTTTTTGCTTCCAGGGCATGACTTGGAAAATTCGATCAAATCGAAGACTTTCTGAACGCAAGCATCCAGAACCAGAGCACGTCCCGTGGTTCAGTGCACAGAGGTCCTCAATGCTGTCGTCGCCGAAGCACTCCAGCCGGCCGGAGACGCAGCCCTGGCAAGCGCGTCGCTTGATTCCGCTCTGAGGGCTCGGTAAATCCATCTGGGTTGGATTCGAGGGCTCGGTGGTTCCCGGGCAATCACTCAGTCATCAGGCAGGAGTTCAGAAGCTCCAGAATCGCGCCTGTGGATCGAGCGGTAGGGTGGCCAGCCAATGCCACATGCATGCAACCACGTGGGCCAAGAAGCAGACGTTCATGAACCTGAAGTGAGCTTCAGTGGGCGAAGACATCCAGACAGCGAAACCTCGCATGCCAACATCCCGGTCGGAATCGCCTGAAATGAGCTTCCCTATAGAGCAGAGATCTGGCTCCTGGTGGACACGGCCTTTGCCCCCGTCTGAGGCTGCCACAGCAGGCCCAAGCGCAGAAACAGCGGGGACACTTGGACGGAAGACCTCGCATGGAACCAGCAAGAAAAATCCTTCCAATTGCAGCCCAGCCCTAGCCTAGACTCCTAGACCTCAGGCAATGGCTCAGCTGAGTGAACCAAGCGGAAGAGCTTCAGCATCCGTGCCAACCTGAGCTGTGCACTGCGCCACACGTGCTCTCATCGCGAAGGGATTTGCGGAGGTCCCCGGCTTCATTAAGCGGAAGATCCTTGCAAACCGGGTCAGCCTGGCTGGACAACTAAAGTTCCAGCAACGAGCCCTCCCTTTCCCCCTGGGGCACCAGGTGACATGCTGGACGCAATGATGCAAGCAACGAATTCCAAGCTTTCGAGTTGTCAGCAATCTTGCTTTGCTCGTGTGAGGTGATGTCGGCTCGAATCATGCCGCAGCACTTCAGCACCCGTCCGTAGTTCGATGCATCAGCCAAGAAGGCCTCAATTCGTCCAAGGGGTTCATGCCTGTCCTCTGGACTATCACGGGCAGCTTGTAGCAACGGGCGAGGAATCACCAGTGCCCTTCAGACCGTCCCTGCCTCAACGATGCGATCAATCGGAACAGTGGAGAGGAAATCCACCAAGAACTGGCCCTTCAGATAGTGCCTGCATGAAACGGACTTGCAACATTGGCAAGGCAAGGCCAGGAACATCCGCGCAAGGCCTGTAAATGTCGTAGGGAACTGTGTTCACGAGACCATTGGAGTCCACAAAAGCCGTTCGACAACCTCAGGCTTCCCAATCCGATGCTGCGAGAAAGGCGGGCGCATGTTTGAGACCAGCACTCAGAATCATGTCCAGTCCAAAGAAGACGTCCACGATGACCTTAGAAGCTTTATTCTGATCTCCTAGTGAGCATTGAGGCTCCTTCTAAAGCTGCCCTGATTCCGTTGGCCTCCTCCAAGGGCACTGCACATGGCATCGGCACCTGGAACTGAGGCTGCCGCATCCACAACGATGAAGACGGATCCCTTAAACAAGTCTCAATGTGCTGACTGTGGGGGAATGCCATTACAGGGCACATGGAAAGACTCCCATCCGCTTGATTGACACTCTGCTAGCTAACAGACTGCACGGGTGCACGGTGTCGCCAAGCTGCAGGTGTCGTATGAAAAGACACCGAAAAGGTGATGGCAATCACCTTGCTGTGCACGAAAAGCAGAAGCTTGTAAGCCAATTCAGTGGTGTCAAGTGGATTGGCAGAATCTGGATCACTTCAACAGTGCTCTGGCCCTCTCCCACACACAGGCCCCTGGCAGAGTATATGATCAGCCCACCAATCCAGAGGTCCCATCTCGGCAATGCGGCAAAGCAATGTGTGAGCACGCACGAAACTGGCCCCACAAACGTACGCGAATTCCTTGTTCATCCGTTTTCCACCGGCATCACCTGAAGCGGCCGGCGGCACACCCCCGCTCCGGACCCAAATCGTTTTCACCTGACGCAACTGGCTAAAGCAAGCAGCAGCTACAGTCTGTCTCCATAAGTTCGCTCGCGTGCCAAGCCTCGATGTGAGGAGGTCGTGTCGGGCACCGCGCCGCGGAGCACGCCGCACGGCCTCCGAGTCGCCACTCTCCACGGTCAAGGCTCTCTCTCGGCAACGTACTACGGACGTCGGCCTCCGAGTCTGGAAGAGTTTCGAAGGCCTTCAAGAGCGCCAGTAGCGCCTGGCTGGGAGGCTGAGTCGAGGCTTGCTTCTGATGCACTTTGCTCTCTCAGCCTGTCGTGGAAGCACTCGTCCTCGTTGTCGGCGCTCGGCAGTGTCGAGCATCACGGCAAGGAAGCTAAGATCGCGATACCTGGAGCGATTACATTACTTGGCATCCCAGCGCTACATCACATGATTCTCGGACAAGTTATATCAGTTATATCGCTGCATGCCAGGACTCGTGGTACGCGACGAAATGGTGAACGTTGCACGCACATTATGAACCATGAGCAACCAGAGAATCAAGTTTCCAAGCGCGCGCATGCTCAATAACGTTCTTGGTGAGTCGAAGATGATTCCAATCACAGCCCAGATTCGCTGACAAAGTACCTTCCAAAAGCCGATGACAAAATAGTCATTTCTGCTTATTTTGCAGACAGACCACTTTGCGCAAATCTCCCACGGCTCCACGACATGGACCACGTAACCGAGACGCTCTGCGAGCAGCACGTACCTTGGTAAGGGCAAGAGTGTCCGCATTTCTTGGATAACTCAAGCACAGAGGCTGCACAAACAATCCTGATGCTTACTCTAGCGGATCACAGGTGCGGCCGCATCTCCCAAAGACGGAGATTCGACGAGTCCTGGGCTCGCGGGCAGCGCTCAGGCTGTGCATGGCACGTGCGTGGCTCTCTTGCCAGGGTTCGATGAAGACCGGGTGAATCCCAGCTTCCATCACCAGCAAGGCACGGGCCTTCACGTCCGGACAGTCACTTTGCTTCGAGCCCTGTCCAGCAGAGGCCTCGTTTCGCCGGTGCGCTGCCTCCAGCTTGAAGGGCTCACCTCGAGGCGGCGAAATCTGTGGCAGGAAACAGTAAAACAGTCCTGGAAGACAGCAGCCCTTGGAGGCAAAGAGCCCTCTAAAAAGCAAGAACTGCAAATCCCAACTGAAGCCCTCGCCCTGAACTGACGGTTTGGTGGCCCGCATCTGTAGGTTTCCGTATCTGGCCTCTCAAAAGTTTTCCTGACTCAGGCTGTTCTGGGTTCACTTGGCTGGTCCTGGCGAGAGAGGGAGCGTGCCTCGAAAGGATTCCAGGAAGTCGTCCACCGAACAGACGTGGGTGAGACGCGCAGACTGCTCCTAGCATTTTGGGAACATGGACAATTTTCCTGAGGCATGTGGCCAGGTTCGGTGCAGACCTCGCCGCGATCCAGCGCCCTCATCTCGAGCCTGAAAACTTTTGCCACATCAAACAACTGCATGCTGAGATCCACGAACCATTTCCTGTATGCAGATAGCCGGGAAGCAGCCGTTCCATTGCATATTCTGTTTTCCCAATGCCTCAGATAAACAACGGCAACAAGGAGCCTGTGTAGACTACTTCGTCAGCATGGAGTCCCGATAGATGGGGTGTGATGGGGCCCAATGGATAGCCACAAATCGAAACAGTGATAGTTTCGGAAGCCATTCCCCCCCTGGCAAGGCACACTTGTTCTAATTTGCACAACTATGTTTATGTTTGTCCTAGCTGTAGATGTGCTTGAAATCCCCGTGGGTCAGGTGAACAAGATGTAGCTGGTCTGGAGACACACAGATGGGGAATCCATTGAGCCATAAACACATTGAAGTGTTTGCTGGTACAGATCGTTAGTATCCAGCACTAATCTGAGACCTGTGTTGTTGGGCCTGGGACATGTGGTGCAACCAATCTCTTGGCGTCTCAATGACAGGTGGCCTATAGGAACGATCACATCCGCGTGGGACATGCCCGAATTTTCGAGCGACTTACGGACCTTTTCATGTGTCCCGAGGCTCCTCGAAGCTTGGGGCATCGTGTTGCGGGCACTTATACCACATTTGAACAACGCGGCCTGAAGTCCTGAAGACACCATGTACTGCCATGCACCCCAAAGATCAGGGCGGAACGTCCAATCGCGCGATCCACACACCAGCGCCGAATGGCAGCCGAGGGTCCAGGAAGCCCACGCAAGATGTAGAGTTCTCGCGGGAACCGAGGCCGTGCAGAGACTTTCTCTGCATATCCTGGGGTGATCTTTGCGCTGGCCCAGACGGATGTGTTTGGGCTCTCACACTGCGTAGCAGATAACAGCAAGTTTGGCGCCTGCGTCCAGTGCGTCTGCACAGCTTTCTGAAACGGATTGCACACCCTGGATGTCACAGCAGAAACACGGCCGAAACAAACTACAGTCTACGGCTTTTGTATGGCAAGGGTGTCTATTTTTTGCTGTCGTTGCGGGGGCGCGTTTTTGTTTGCTGGCGTTGGCGCGTTTTTTTGGCTGTCGTTGCGGGGGCGGTTTTATTTGCTGTCGTGGCGGGCGCCTTTTGTTTTTGCTGTCGTTGCGGTCCCCGGCGCTTTTTTCTGCTATCTTTGCAATCTCCAGCGCTTTTGTTCTTTGATGCCGTTGCGGTCCCCGGCGCATTTCTTTTGCTGTCGTTGCGGTCCCCGGCGTTTTTGTTTGCTGTCCTTGCGGTCCCCACGCGTTTTTTGCTGCTGTCGTTGCGGTCGTTGCGGGGGCGGAGATTTTTGTGGTCCGCAATCTAGATCTTTCTAACCTGTACTATTTTCAATATTAGTATTATTGGTAGTACTACTACTGCGTGCGGGTTTGTATCCGATGTTGTTCATGTTGCTCACCTCACAGATCTGGTTGGTAGTGGTGGATTGACGACGTTGTGGTAGGTCCCGACGGAGTCGCTGCGCTACCTTCCCGTTGCCCTTCATACACGCTCGCGCACACTCTTTTCTCGCCGCCAGCTTTGGACTGAATCAAGTCCGTGCAAGAGGGATGGCTCGAATGCTCTCTAGATCTGAGTGGCTTGCTACTCACAGAATGTTGAGCTTGTTAGCTCGTTTTTGAGCCACTATGTTGGCGGCACGCTCGATAGCATTCACACTTGTAGTAACCGCACGCTGTTCGGGAACCGACCCAGCGGCGCTACTTCTCATAGCTCTAATTACCATTCATGACGTGACACCCACGAATTGTACGAGGCATCGAGGACTGTTCGCACCGCCCATGAGTAAGACCTTCGGTCATGCGCACATCGGAAGAGAGTCGCGACAGAAAAGGATATGAGCGCTTTACCCGCTTTAACATCGCAAAGTAGTGACATTCGAGCCTTGACATCCCTAATTAAACGTTGTGACACTTCGCTACGTCAGTGACGATCCCGAATCAGACAATCACCGAAGAAAACCGTTCCGTGATGAAGATCACGTTCGCGAAGATTGCGCCACATGGTTCATAGTTGTGATGCAGATACATTGGGAGATCTTGATCGCAATCACGTCCAGTCACGGTACTCATGGCTCCCGCGACCATAGTATGCACGATCTCGTTCGCGGTCATCGGCATTGTGAGAATCCTTGCCTTTGCCCTTTGTATCTGACCATCGGTTGGCATTGCCATATCCGGGACGGCGTGGCGGAGGATCATTTGAACTTCCTGGTCCTCGGCTTGCTGGTGGACCCTGTGGCTCTGCGGGTCTCGCCTTGCTTTGGCTTTGCCTCGATCAGCCCTCATACGATCGCGAATGCCGTACCAGGTGTGATGCACTCGGAAGGGTTCACGTGATCACGCAAGGTATTGTTGTGTATTGGCCGAAGCGGCTGCTCTCCTCAGCTTGTCGATGTATTTCGCAGGCAATTGGACATCGCTGTTCATGACGATCTCGATGGTAAGCTCAAGGGTTTTCGCTGGTCCATCAATAAGCATGATACCCACTGGGTCAATCTGCAAACAAGGGACGTTCCCTATTCGGGTCCTTGAGAAGTGAGAACTTGGAATATCCAGTTGTCTTGGCGACAACATCCTGCAAGATCTGACGAATGCAAACACACATGCTCTGCGCACCAAGCTTGTCTTCAGAGATGTAGGACACGGGGTTGATCTGATCGCGGCTATAGCCAAGCTGTTTTGCCCCTCGGATGAGTGTAGCCAGCGTTTGACAAGTTCGGACGCATCGGAGGCTCCATTTTTCCCTCCGAGTCCTCTTTCTTTGTTGCCCTGGTCGCGTACGGGAGGATCTCCCCGTCGCTGACTTCTCGTGGCAAATTCGTCTCTTCATCGACGTCGGCGAATCCCAACCCAATAGTTGGCACGTCGACGTCCATGGCTTCTTCCGCTTTGGGCTCGCCAACGGTTTCACGATCACCCTCGCCTTCTGGCTGATTTGTCGCCGCGTTCGCAGCCGCTGCTTCCATTGCATTGTTGATCTCCCCAGGCGGAATCTCTGTTGCAGGTTGTTGTTGCGCAACCCGTTGAAATTTTTCGTTAGAGTTAGAATGGTGGACGACGAAGCACTTGGCGCAACGAGCGACGCAAGCAGCTGTCATGTCAAGACAGCATGGGCAAAGCCTTGTTCTGACCGTCGAACTTCTGGGGTCAGTTTGTTCAGGCGGCGTGTTCTTGATGGCGAAGCGGATGCCTCCTCGATGACCTTTACGCGGTGGGGATCATCTGGGATGCGTTCGACGACTGCGGCCAACTCCTTGATGTTCCTTTCTTTCTCTTGATCCCTTGGTCCACTTGGAAGGTCGCACAGGATGTTCATCATATTCTGAGGTGACCGACGATCTGCGAATTGACTGGACAGTGGCGAGTCTCATAGTGCATACACACTTCGTTCTCGAGACTGTAGTCCATGATCTTTTCGTAGAACTGGAAGTTGTAGTAGGATCCGTCCGGGGCGCAAAACCAAATCTCCTTGACAAACTTGAACGGTGTTGGTCTTGACACCAGAGTAAGCCCGCTCTCTGAGATCTTTCCTCCCAGGTGAATAAGGTCTTGGGTGGGCACGTAGAGAGCCACCAAAGGTGCGAACCTCGGCCCTACTCGTCCTTTAGTGAACTTCAGTCACTTTGTTTCTGTGGTCAAACGGTGGGAAAATCCCACTGCCTGAAGAACCACCATCTTGAACTTCCAATCCTGGCAAAATTCCCTTCCCCACACTGGACCCGGGTTCCTCCACAAGAATCTTGTGTTCTCGACTGTCAACGCTGAGCTGTTGCTGAACAGGCTCCTGTGGATGGACGTGATGGTTGGAAGTTACTCAACGGGACTCCGTGGTCCCGAGCGAAGCGCAAGGCCGTCTTCCAGAGCAACAACTGGGTGGCTCACCTTTTCTCAGGCGACAAGAAGCAAGAGGAGGCCAAGCGACGCGCAACTACGAAGACTCCATTTAGAATGAAGCATTGAAGTGATGTTAGAGGTGGATACATCGACCTCCAGATCTATGGACCTTAGGCTTGGGCGGCTTTCCATGGGAAGATCAAGGCCCTGCTTGGAGGACCCCGAGGCAAACGTTCCCCACCGCAGCGCAGAGCACCGTGGCCGGCAGCCAAGACATGCGCGAGCTTCAGTTGGTGGTTCGAGTGATGACCCTCGTCTACCTGGCGGAGGAAGGAAGGACTTCATCTTGGAAGGTGGGACGACCACGGACAAAGGTGAAACCGCGCGTGGGCTTCTTGTTAGAACACCCTGAAGGGCGAGACAGCGATCGAATGTCTCTGTCTCAACTCCGCTGCGGAAGTCGTTTGCCGTGGACAGCCTTATGGGAGACGTGTCTTGTGTGATGAGTGAGGGAGGTGGTCCTGGGTGGCAACATGGACCTTTGGCCTTTGCAAGATGCTGAGCTTGGACCAGGTGATCCTTGTTTGGGTTCAGAGTGGCCCGTGGACCTGCTCACAAATGAGGCCTATATGCTGAAAAGGCGTGGGTTGGACTACGCATTCGCGAGGGCTTTTTTGTCCTCCCTGACGAGAAGGTCTTGGGTTCAAGACTTCGATAGTGTGGAGTTAAACAGTTTCGACGTTAAGGATTGGAGGCTCCACGTTCAACGTGATCATTTTACCTTAGCCGAAGAGATTGCCGAGTTTGCGAGCTGTAGCGCCTCACCGGCGACTGAGCCATCCCTCTCCCTGCGTGCTCCACTGCGCTCCACTGCGGGCCCTTTCCGAGCTACCGGACCGAAGCTAGAGGCTATCGTTACCTGTTGGTGGGATGCTACCGGCGCCCCTTGTCTCAAGGACACCGCTCCTGAGGACGCTAAGAAGCCCCTCATCCCCCTGAGCCGAAGCCTGATGATGGTTGTGATTGGGTGATTGAGGATGAGGAGCTTCTGGAAGGAGAACCAGAAGGAGGTGCTGGTTGTGCGGACGCGGGAGAGCCCGGACAGGAGGAGGGGGGTGTTGGTCCCGCGGACAAGGAGATTGAGAAGTTGAAGGAGTTGGCCGAGCCTGTGGAGTTTGCGTCCATCTACCTAGCGAGGCCCTTGAAAACGCAGAAGAAGGCGGAGGCCCTGAAGGCGACCCAAGAAGTGTATATTCAGCTAGGAAGCTCGGGTTTTCCGCTGAACCGCCCCCATATGGATAGAGCCAGAGAGTTTCAGTCCAGTGCCTTGGAACACTCGCGAGATGTGGATATCTTGCAAACCCAGGGTTCAAAGCCAGCACTGCAGAAAGAGCGGTGGGCTTTATTAAGATGAGGATGAGAATTCTGCTGGCCCCGGCAAAGGAGCTGAGTGGTCTCGGTGATGATGTCATCAGAACCCTGTGGCCCATGGCAGCCGAGACGGCTGTCGTGCAACAGTCAATGGCAATGGGGCGGAAGCTTCCCTCGACAGCGAGGTTTGGCTCTCGGGCGTTTACTAAAAAAAAACCGCTATGGGACTGAAAGCCCCCGTGACTTAAGACCGAAGTGGATTGGTGGGGTCTATCTGGGCCCTGCTCGTTCAGTTCACGGAGGCCATACGGTGTACACAGATGAGGGGAACTTGTGGTCTACCACTTCCGTTCGCCAGTTCGAAGCTAGAGAAGCAGAGCCTAAGGGAAGCTGAAGCAGCACCGATTTACTACCGGCGCGAAGGACAAAGGGGAAGACCGGAGCTGTGGAACTCGCAAGCGGCGCTGGGCTACTGCCGGGAGCTTCTGGTGAGCTTCGACGCGATGGCGGTGACGAGGGAGCACTGAGTGCTACAGCAAAGTTGGCGCATTCCTCGGACACCGATGCAGATGAGTCGCGGACGATGGTTTCTGATGGCCCTCGGCTTTCTGAGCTTGAACAACATACGTCGTACTCGCCATCTACTACCAGCTCAAGCAGAATCGGGCAGGGCTTTGCATCCAGGTTTGTCCACAGCCTGACAAGTTCTCTATGGGAAATTGCTGACAGGTGGAGTCCGAACATTTCTTCAAGACCAGGAAGCAACGACAGTCGGCCTGGAAGGACAATCACACTACGTTGTACGGTTGCCCGAGACCGCTGTACTGAGGTGCACAGTGACAGGTTCAACTTGAGGAACTCCAACAACTACGCGTTGACCTTGGGAGATTTTCAAGGAGGTGATATATGGCAGGAAGGCGCCTCCAAGGAGTTTTCCAAGGTTGCTGTTGAGTCCTCCCCGGGTGAGATTTTACAGGGTTTCGTGAGGCCAGTCAGGGACCGGGCTGCGGGCTGCGCAAGTTGATCCCAAGCGGCTCCATCGGACTATGCCGTGGACCGGGAGGAGGATGGCGGGAGATTGATGGATCTAGGTTTCCCCCTCCCTTCGGCCACAAGGAGTTCTATGGCGACCATGGCAGTGTAGGAGGGTAGAGGCCGAAGTGATGAAGCTTGCTTGGGGCCTCAATGGTGTTATCGTCTTTCCCAGGCGGAGGTCGAAGAAGAGATGATGAGTCAGGTGTGGACTCGAGGTCTGGGCCACTGCCAATGGTGATGCGGCGGGGAACTTAATGTTCGGGAGACTCAGTCTACGCGTGACCGATGTGATGAAGAACAACGGTTTGGTCTGCGCCGATTGAGTGAGGGCGACGAGGCGACCTTGGTATTGAGACCATGTTGGAGGAGCTGCGGGAGCCATTGGAGGTTGTTTCCACGGTGGCTTTGGATGAAGTGAAAAACTATGCTGGCAGATGGTCTGAGGCAATGCACAAGGACGGAGGTGAAGGTCTTGTCTGACGCAGGGGCTTTGGTTTCTTCGTCACCGGAAGAGCAAGCGAAACTGGAGGCTTCCGGGAAGCTTATCGTGCTTCCGGCGAAACAGTTTTTACCGTGAAACCCTCAGATGATGAAAGACTCACGGATGAGAATGGTGCTCCCCTACCGCAAGGCTGTCCTTGGTTTGTCAAACGGAAGGCCCGGCTGGTTATACGCGGCAACTTCCAAGGCCGGCAAGCTCGCGAAGATTCCTACGCTGGGGGTTGTCAGATTGCCTCGCTGCGCTGCACGTCGGTGTTGGCCGTGCATCGAGGCTAGAAGCTGCTCTGAAGGTGTTGTGTTGTATGGGTTCAGACGGAGCCCTCGGCTATGGAGTCGCTTCAAAGACAAGAGACTACATGCCAAGAGGTGCGAATGTTTGGGCTGCGGTCTATGTGCAACCACAAGGCAACTCTGAGACCAAAGGCTTACACCTCAACATCTACGTTGACGACGTTTTGTATGTGGGCTTAATGGGTGAGATCCTTGCAGTTCACCAATGGCTGACCTCTGAATGGAAGGCCTCTGAGTTGTCGTGGGCAACAGAAGAGTCCATCATACGGTTCTTGGGGTTGGAGATTAGGATTGTGGATGGTGGAGTGAAGATCGGCCAGCAAGCTTATGTGGATGAATTTCTACGCCACCGCAAGCTGCAGGCCGCTAAGGGGTTTGGGACCCCTTGCCCCCAGGAATGGTTGCTTGGCGCATGTGATGAAGCATTTTGTGAGTACTCAGCGGAACAGTCGACGAAGGCCCAAATCCTGACGGGTGAGCTTCTTTGGCTTAGTGGGCGAAGCCGCACAGACATCATCTCTATATCCCTTCGGTGTGTAAAGCGTGGACCAGCGGCTGGCACAGCCCAAGTCC